AAATATGCCACGCCTCTGCGTATTTGAGATGCCTTTTGTCGTGAATTTTTTGTACTAACTTTGCCTTATCCCACTCTGCTTTAACTTCTGTAGGGTCTGCTAGGATGTATGTCGCTAGCGCTGTGACTGGCTGCTCATTTCGTATGTTTCGTTTGTGCTCTATCATTCTTTCTTTGAGCGATCTCCCTGTTGCTCCAATGTAAAACAGCTCTTTCTGTCGCCTTTTATCTGTTATTGGAACACTGTATACTCCGGGCAGAAGGTTTCCGTCTACCTCGTCTTTGTCTGTTCTTAACATTTGGTAAACTGTTGGATTTCTTTTGTAAATTATTTTCTTTTTTGTTGCTGCTCCTATTCTTTTGTATATATTATTTAATACAAGTGTTATAATAAATTTGGCTGTATTATATAAGGTGTATGAGTAGTGTAAGAATAGGTTAGGTTAGGTTAGAACGTGCATCCCCACTGTTTCCTTTCTTTTGTTTGCTGGTATCAGAAACGAGCCACCATATTGGCTACCTAAGGTAAATTTAACCAAAAAATGTAGTTATATTTGCACTTTACACCTCCATCGACATCTATCCTCAAAGGTAAACTGGCGACGGAGGAAAGGGAGAAGGGAAATGATACTAAAACTTAACTTACATAACATAATGTAACAATAACTTATTGGTAAAATATCTATCCAAAAAGATTTGGCTTTGCCTACTTTTTAAAATGTTTCTAAAATGACATAGGCAAATGTCATTACTCCGAGCAGCAATACTGCTAATGGGAACCTTTTCGGGATGTTTCTTTTCAATAAAATCAGTCACTTTCTGATAATACCTCAAGATGTCCTTTATCGAGCGAGATCCTTCCCCGACGAAGCAAACAGACTGAGACCAATGAACAGAAGTAAATAAAAAATGGCGCTTCGAACTAATGTAACGTCGTATGGCGAGTTTTTGTTCGTACCGTGGGGCAAAATTATGTTCAAATTTCATGTCGTATCCTGAAAATTTCGTATGCTGGGGCGTTCGTATCCTGAGGTACCACTGTATTTATATTTATTATTATTATTATTAACATGTATTTATCATATTACAAATTAATTTGTGATAAATACATTTTACGTGCGCCAAATATGCCAAGTTACTGTTTCACTTGATTTTTCCAATTGATCTTGCGTTAACTTTTATTCGCGTGTAATTTTTTTTTCCGATCTAATATTAATCTCCGATCTTTTCCGATTTGATACTAAATACAAGATTTATTTTCCCATAAAAGAACAAACCTGGCAACATCATCATAATCGTCCCCACCACGTCGTCCTCCTTCTTCACCACAACCACAACCACCACCACGTGTCTCAGCCATTCCTCTTACTCCTACAATTTGAATTACCGTATTACTCTAACCGATAATAATAATAGCCCAAAAAACGTCAAAATATAAACGATTGGAATTTTATTGATAATATATATATTTATTGTGATAAAGAAAAAGAGGAAACAAATAAAAGACTTTATTTAAAAAAATGTAATAAGTAGAAAAAAAATTATAAATTCAAATATTTTAAAATAAGATACAACGAGTCCCAAAACTCATCGAGGAACAATACATTTGTAATCGCTTACAATTTGTGTTTTTGAATTTTCTTTATAAACAGTAGAATTGATTCTTTGAGATGGAAAATAAATGCTGATGTTGCAATCACAATTCAATTAGAATATATTATTAAATGGTCGGGCAGCCCCATGATGGAATGGCCAAGTGATGAGGAACGGGTTTCGACGTATCTGGATAGATCCCCCGAGAAAAACGCCAAAAAATTTTTTGGAATTGGTCCGTTTCTAACCGCCCGACAGCCTTATTGTGGGCTTTGTCGAATCCATAATGGGTTCGCTATTAAAAAACAAATCTTTCTTAGAGCTCACAGAGTTAAGAAGAAATTCAATACGTCCTCACTAAACTTCTTTTGTGGATTTCACTTCTAGAATTTATATAATTTAGATTTTATTTTTTTATAACATTATGAATGCAAGAACTTTTATGCACACATTTTTCTGTGTGAACATTTTTCCGTGTGAGCAATTTTTATGCGGCTTTTTTCATGTGTTTTTTTTTCTATTTAGGAATCTCTGCAAGAGGTTTTCCTCCATTTTCATTATTTACTTTTAGTCAATTTAACTTCTACTTTGTACAGTTTTGCTGATGTCATTTGTATCCTAAATACCTTTATTGAACAATTTATCAGCGCGTGTATTATTATTATTACCTCCTATTTCACCAACAGACGATTAATTTGTGTCAATCCAATCGTACTGAAAAGTTTGACGATCAAATGTGTATTGAAAGATATAGGCTCTCTAAAAGAACTGTTTTCAATCTTACAGATTGCTTCTCGGTAAGGAAAGAAACGCTTATAATAAAACACAACACTTAAAAATATACAGAAATTTCACCTTTACTTTTTGGAACTTTCTGGATATTTTCTTTAATTAATACAATAGACCTACCTATAACGCGGTAGATACGTTCCGCTTTATAAGAATTTCGCGTTTTAGGAATCCTTAAATACATGAGCCAATCACAGCCCGGCACGTGTGCAGTTTACTGACTACGGCTGTTTGAAAGATTTTCTTCCATAAAATTAATGATTTAATTAATGCGCATTTTCTGATAAGTTATTTTTCTGCGAAAAAATAATTTTTATGGCCATTAAATAAGAAATGTTTTTTTCACAAGAAATGTATAAAATTACAGTACTGTATTAGACTTACAGTACCTAATTTAGGCCTATATACTGTACAGACGATAGTAAACTCAACTTACCCGCCTAAACTCCGTAGCTTGTAAGTAGTTCGATTGCTCGTCCACTATTGGTCCAGATTCGATCAATCCTGTCGCGACACGAGTCGGCGATGACGTTTTACCGCATTTTACGAGTCTCTTTTAGCATCTTTATACGAATACGGTCGCAATTTTTTCACCGCGATATACGAATACGCATTATATGAAAGCGCGTTATAGGGGGGTCTACTGTATTTTTGATCTGCAGTCGGTTGAATCTACGAATGCAAAACTTGCATCCAACAATAAGAGAACGTTTTTTAAACTTTCTTTTTACGTGCCTAGAAACAATTAGAAATTAATCTAAAATGCGCAACTTTCGATAAATAATCGATAAATCTTTGAACAGTTAAAGATCGCTTCCGAGTGGCTATGTCACATTTGGTAGAGAATTGAAATCTGTGCAAAAAGACTTGGCAGAAAAAAGGTTTATGTTTTTCAGCAGCAAAATAACCTATTCCACCAAAGCCTTATACGCTCGACAAATTTTTCCATCAATTCTTTGGACTGCTTTCTGTCGAGTCCCGTCTCAGACCGTGTCTCTACCGTCCATTCCAGAACTTTGGGGTATCGCCGCTGCAGATAATGGAGGAGAGACAACGTCCGGAGTTACGACGACCACCCGTTTGACGTCGGGTATAGGTGATTCTTCCTCCCCATCTTTCGGAAATACCCGTATTACACGAGGTGCCATCCTCGGGCTCGGCATGGTCCGAGTTTGCCACTTCTTCAATTCTTTGAAGTTATCCATTCTGCAAAGAAAAATGAGAGACTATAATTTAATATTAAAAAAGTTCGAATTTTTGGGTGAATTTCGTCATCTCTGTCTATAAAGAGTGGGATTTCGACAGATCGTTGCACGAATCTTTTACTCGTCCTCACGGACACGAGCTGCTATAATTAATTCACATATTGTTAGGATATGCTCGAACACTATCTTAGAATAAGAAGAAGATACGAGGAAAGATAGAAAACGGAGTTAGATTTGAAGGGAACGACGGTGGAAACTTGTAATACAAAATTATAATTTTAATTTTTATAATTCTTAAAAGTTTATACAAAAAAATTAAATTCATTATAGCTCTATGCTCTTCTTTTAACTTATAAAATGCATTTGAACTTTGTGATACTCTACTGTATATTTATCAACAATTTTTTAATTACTGCGACGATTCTTATTATCATTATTGGGTGTTTCACTTGTTGCTGGATCATCAGAAAATTCTGATGGATTCACAAAACATAAATCCTATATGAAGTACAGTACCTGACTTGCGAGACAATCTGGAGTGCGGTGAAACAAAGCCCATTTGAAATTAAATTGCATTTGTAATAACGGACATAAAATACGTCGGATACGTTTCGTTAGGCGTCAGCCTGCTTCTCGATGGTTCCGGGTTTGAGTCCGAGTCGACAACCTCAGAATTTTTTCACGGTCGGTCTGTCCCGAAAATGGTCTCGTCCCTCACTTTCTATTCGCCCCCTCAACGAGCTGTTAGGGTTGCAGCCTTATCGCTCTGGGGAACCCGAAATCGAATCCGGACGAGTCGAAAAACCCCAGAAATTTTTCGGGATGATCCGTCCGTATATGTCGAGTCACATCCCTCACTGTCCGGCCGCCCCGTTGCGGCCTGGACGAATCAAAAAACGGGTTTAGTAAAAAGGCTTAGTGCCACCGGGACCCATCACCCTCGTACGATGAGCCTTCCCGAACTCAGGATTACGCACGATTCAGGATTTATAACACGAATTAAGGTTGTTTTTTAAACTCTTTCCGCCCTGTGGCCACTAAGAGGGCCTCTTCTAGCAAGCCTATTATGGGTTCGGCCAAGCCCACAATGGGGCTGTCGGATGGCGAGGGACGTGGCCCGACATATCCGGACGGACTACTCCGAAAAATTCCTGGGAATTTTTTCGACCCGTCCGGATCGATCCCGGATCTCCCAAAGAAGTAGGCTGCCACCATGACCGCTCGGTCATCCGGTCCACGAATTTAGGGTTTTCAATATCCATATGAGAAAAAAATTTTTTTTAAATAAAAAAAAAACAAACTTATGCGCCGAACGAAAAAAATCGATCAGGTAATCAAATAATTTTTTAAAAATTTTTATTACTTATTGTACGGGTAAAATAATAGACATCGAAAGTGTTGCCATCTCAAACGGAAATTAGTGTACGAAATTCAAAATTATTACGTCATATTACACGAAATATTTTATTTTATACTCGAGTAATTAATAAAGAAATAAAATTACTCGCTTTACGGATGAATCAAGTTTAACGAGATCCGTTTGAAATGACGTATCACATGACATGTCTTTTGAACTGCGATAAGAAGTGATGTTATAGACGTCAGGAAGGATGTTCGCCCCACGTCCCAATTACAGTAAACTGAAGACTAATTTGAGACTGTGTATCAACCGTTTGAAGTTGTTGGAGAAGAAGAAGAGCGAGTTGTCGTTAAAGGCGAGAAGAGAAATCGCGGATTATATATCGAACGGAAAATGCGAAAGGGCGAAGATCAAAGTGGAGCATATCATCCGGGAAGATTATTTAGTAGAAGCGATGGAAATAATCGAGATGTTTTGCGATCTTTTACTTGCCAGATTCGGTCTGATCGAGCAAATGAAGTAAGTCGTTGACGTTTTGAAATCCAAGAGTAAGTCTGACTTGTGTAACAGATAAGCGTTGTGTTACACACAGACAAATCTGTTGTGGTAAACGTCACACTTGTTACGTTTAATTAACACAACAGATTTGAACTTATGTCATATGTAGTACGACATAAGACAACAGAACTTATATGTTATGTAGGAAGATGGCTTTTGACACTTTTGTCGCTTTTCTATTAAAAGCGAGTATTTAAAACGTGTTTCGACGGTCAAAAAAGTTTGCGGGCCCGCCGGTGGCCGAGCGTTTCCGTTCCTCGAACGCTGGGAGTTCGGTCGTGGGTTTGTGCATCACCAGTGTGTGGAGTTTTCTGGGTTTTTTCCACATCTGTAACACCCAAATAGACTTTTAACCCTTAAAAAGACTCCCGGAAGGCACCCTGCTGAGTGTTGCATTGCCGTAACTTAATAAAAACAAACAAATAAACATAAAGTTTGCCTGCTGGTGACGGAGTGGATAAAACCACCGAACGCTCGTAGTCGGTTGTGAGTTTGCATGTCGCCGGCAGGCTGTGTGGAGTTTTTCTTCACATTTGTAAAATCTAAATAATGGCCAGTTTCCCATAAAAGACCTTCCCGGAGGCAGATCGCATGTGTGTTGTGTTGTCATAAACAAACAAAACCACGATTGAAAGATTTGTGTAGTTCGAAGAATGTGTCAAATGGTATTGCTGGAGATAGACATTTGTATCTCCAGCAATGTCTATTTGTATCTCCAGCAAATGTCTATTTGTATCTCCAGCAAATGTCTATTGTTACGTACGTAACAATAGACATTTGTATCTCCAGCAATACCATTTAAATAGCTTAGTAGTTTTTCGTTGGCGATTACGACAGAAATTTCTTGACTTGCCAGTTCCATTATCGTAGTTACTACCACTATACTGGTATAATGCAGTATAGTAATAAACAACTAGATATATCTGTTTTTTGCCGGTTATAGGTGTCTAGTTGTGTTTATTTCTGTTATCATACATTTAAGGAGGAACTAATTTAACTGGATAAACATAATTTAATACAAGAAACCTTTATATCCAGCAAAAAGTGTTCTTAGCATATAAAATTTTTGGGTCATTTAAAATGGCCAAAAACATTTGTTTATTGGAACATTTTTTCTGGATTTAAAGGCTTCCTGTTTTCAATTGTGTTTTTAATTGTTTAAAAGTATTTTAAATACTTCCAATGTTTATATTTAATTCTATTGTTTCAACATAAATATTGTAACAGGTAACTATGATGAACAAACACATTTTTAAACATTTACTTATCTTGTTGATTTTTTTTATGTAAGAGAAACAAGTTGTCAATGTTCAATGTAATGGAAGAATGAAGATGCATGCTAATGTTTACCTTTGTTAAACGATAAGTGATTGCTTTAAATATTATATAAAAACTACATAATAACATTAGCTTTCTTTCACATACTGATATTTTTACCATTGTTGATTATGCTTTCACAATGTAGATCAGTTAAGTGCAGATCTTCAACACTATAATTTGTGAAGTTTTGTTAACTTCAGCAGATTATGGCCACACACACAAATGCACTTAATGCTGCAATATATTCATTACTGTTTCTCTTTTGTTTCATTGAATTGTTGGGCTGCAATTTGAAAAAATTGCCTGTCTGTGATTCTTTAATCTTGAGAATGGAATTAGATAGATGAAAGTCGAGACCAGATATGGAAAGCTTAGGAGCAGGATGCCCCAATTCATTATATACAAACTTCCAGTATAGACCAGAAGTCACATGATTTCAATTAAAAATTTTTCCTGGAAGAGAGTTAGATAGATGACTGGCATTACTCTCTTTCTAACAGAAAAAGTATGATGTACAGGGGAAAGACACTACTAATTTGAGGTGAAGAGTGTCTATTTTATATTAAATAAATTTAAAATATGATTAAAAATTGTAGTCCAGCATCGAAACAATGTCACAATAAATAATTGCTTGTTTCTATCTTGAAATACAGCGAATTCTAGTATAGCAGCACACTATATTTCAGACACTGAATATTTGTCCATGTTTCAATGCTAGATAGAATACAATGGTGGATTTGAAACTGCAGGGATTGCTGAAAATCTTTAAGTTTCATGCTAAATTTAAAAGTATTTTTCTAGAAAATAAAGACAAAAATAAATGTTTGTTAAATTTAACATTGTTCCATTCAGTTGCCCAATAAAGAAACACTTGATAGATCATCTTTGCTTTAAATGTTTAAAAAAATTAATCATAAACAAGAACTGCTTTGCAAAAATTTGGTTGAAATAACTTACGGGTCAGTATTTATATACAGTGTGACCAAAAAGTTGCTTGCTAAATTGGCATAATCACTGTTCTTATCACTTCAAGTGCAATAATGACTGGAAGTAATCATGCTATGAACTATGAGTGAAGCTTTTTTTTTTATATCTAGGAGACTGAATGTTTTCTTTTCACTAGGTATTGTCAACAGTTTGATATGAATGCTTTGGAAGGTATGGGTAGTGATAATGGAATTCCTATGTAAGCTCAATTTGTTTATTGTACCAGAAGTAATCGTGCCTGGATCACCACGATTACTTCTGGTACAATAAGAATGGCGATTAGCTCCATTTAGCAAGCAACTTTTTCGCTGCACTGTATTTGTGTATGTAAGAATTAGTTAAAAATAAGCGTTTTTTTCATTAAACAAATAGTTAATATTTTTTGAATGTTTGTCATTCCATGTTCAGACAAGGCAGAAAAACCTGTATTATAAGTTAGATTAAATTCCCATAAATACAGTTTGAATTAGGTAATACATCATAATAAAAGATATGGCATTTAAATAAATAATTCACATGGTTACAATAGAAAATTCAATTTGGCTAGGCTGTATTTTTCTAACAGAGAAAAATTAAGCAATTATCTCAGATATTATATTTGACTTTTTTTTATAGACTGATGGATGAAGGACTTTCAGAACCTATCTCGAGTATCATATGGGCCACGCCACGTCTTCAAACTGATCTCGCAGAAATTAAAGTTATTTCCGATCAGTTAACTATAAAATATGGCAAACAATACACCCAGTGTGTTCTGATGAATACGGTCGATACTGTAAATAAGAAATTGATACAGAAACTTAGTGTGGCCGCTCCGTCCAAATTACTAGTTGAAAAATATATGATGGGTATTATACTTGCTATTAGTATTGCTATTTATTTTATAACATTAATTTAGTGATTCTCATCTTTATAGAAATTGCCAAGAGCAATAACATTCCTTACGATCCAGATCCAGATGTAATGAGAGAAGAAACTGCACCCGCTGTCGATTTTCTGATCGACATTGATTCCGATTTTAAGAAGTTTCCTCCTCCTGATGGAGGAAATTTTGGCGCGGGTGGTTTTATATGTCCACCTGTACCCACCGAACAGCCGTTTAATTATCCTAATATGCAACAAAATATGGTATGTGAATTCTCCTGTAAAGAATAAAGATCAAATATTATTTTTTAAATTCAAATTTCTTTTAGGACAATTCCTCAGGACCTCCACCCTATTCTTCTATGTTGCCAGAAGGACACAAGAGAACCTTTAATGCCACACCACCTCCTGATCTGCCTTATCCTTACATTCCACCGTCGAATACAGACAAAGAGAAATCGCAAGTAGAAAATCCTAACTGGGATCAGTATCAAAGATTACCCAGTGTACCAGGTGCCCCAAGCGCACCTTCTCAGGAAGAATCTGTCGATTTTGATGCTTTGACTAAAAGATTTGAAGAACTGAAGAAGAGACCATTATGAATAAGTCCATTATTGAAAATGTATTAGTGTTACCACTGTGATTTTATTTTTTTTCCTTGTTCGTTGTAAATAACTTAGTTCCAATACAGATATTTTCAAATTTTTATACACTGCATAAATCAAAATGTGCAGATAAATTATTTTATCATGCTTAAACATATAAAAACAAATTGATTTATGCGTCCTTAATGAATACAAAGTAACTAATACCGTGTGATAAAAATTGCTTTATGCAATCGTGTGTAAGTTTTTATAAGAAAATTGTGCAAAATTAATAATTTTTATAGATGAAATGTATAAAATATTTCTAAATATAACGGGCAAAGAATTAATTTTCTAGATAGGCACCATAATAATTTGAAATCATGTAAATTGATGTTTTATATGAATAATAAAGTTTGAGTCAAAATACTGTTATGTATTACAATTTCTCAGCAAGAATGTTTGTTCGATTTATATTTTTATTGAAGTTTACAAACATTGGTACATCTACGACATTAACAAACACGAACATAAATTTAAGTTAATTCACTGAAGTATCGACTCATCCACTTCTTTCAGAATGTTTTCTTTGTCTTTAAAATACTGTCGATACCATTCGATGTGTTCTTTCTTCCGTTCAACTGTAATGTATGGGTTTTTTGATAGTCCGACAATGACCAGCTCCATGAAATGCCTAATTGGTCCTTTCTTGGGAAAACCTTCTAACAGAGGTTCCAGAAATACGTGCTCATGGAATCCGACTTTCTTTTCTTCCTCTATTCCTGTAATAAAACACACACAATAACTTTTTATAAATAATTATTTTAATTTATCCAAAAAGTACAATATATTTGCTTAAAGTTAACCGAATGCAACAGAAAAATGGCAGGTATGTACTTATCGCTGGCTGGCACAGTACATCTTACCTGTAGAGTTACATCTTTTAAATTAATTTAGTCTGGAAACAAAGATAGGATAGTCCGAGTAGCTTAATTGACGCTATGTCTGCAAGGCAAGCAGAAGTTGTGGATTCCAGTCACACACTGGATCAATCCTCCAGAATATTCGAAATTTATTTGTTATAAGACTTAATCACTTACTTAGACCACGTTATGTAGTATTTGTGCATTTGATTAGCCAAAATACAGCATGATAATAAATCCGGTATCTATTTTGTTCAATAAATTATCAATGTCTAAACATATTATCTTTTTATTGAAATAAGATAATTTTGGTTATGCAATTTATAATCGAGGCATTTAAATATTGGAATTTTGCCAATATAATCAAATCACTATATTAAAAATACAGTGGGTGATCGGTTAATGAACATAATCCGTTCCAAGACTTTGTTCGTTATCCGAATTGTTTGTTAACTGATTATCGATTTACCATAGGTTTTTATGGAAATTTGATTAATTTGTTCTGGAGACTCCAAAAAATAAAAAATATAAATAAACGTAGTAAAAAAGTATATATGTAATAGTAAAAATACATATATATGCAGTCTTGCATTTTTATTAGTATTTGTGGGGGTTAAAGAATCTGTCCAATGTCGATTGTTTTTCTCTTTTCTTCAGGATTTTTCGGACTTAATAATATTGTAATTGTAGAGATCCCCAACCCCATTAACCTTATTCTGGTTTGGATGCCACTTGGATGATTATTGTTCTGACATCCCTGGAGTTCTGTTGTCAGATCAGTTTTAAGTTCCATTATGAGCTCTAAAATGCTCTTTATTTNTGCTCATTTCAATCGGTCCAAATCGTAGGTGTGACAAAATGAAATGAAATGGTTCAAATTTTTACAAGATATTATTATTATTTATTGGGAAATTTTGCCACCCCCATTACGCTAAGCCACTGAATTGGCTTACAGATTTTTCTACATAATTCTATTTTTACTGCAAGTGCATATTGTTATTTAATTGTATAATAACATTTTTTGAAATTTTTATGTACATTTTTATGGATACTAATCTTAAACCATTGCTTATAACCACAAATTATTGATTAAACAGCTGCAAATGTTACTTGTACAGCCAAACCTTGGGTTTTGAATGCCTTGCTTTTTGAATTATTTGGTTTAAGAACAGAATTTTGAATTTCATATTTGCTCCAGTTGCCGTATGATAACTTGGTTGCCAAACAAGCTATTTGACAAGAGTCGGCCACAGACGGTCGACTCTGTATGCTCTGTTAAAGAAAGTTGACAGCCCGACCAATCAATGACAGGAGTACAGATTCAGAAGTTAGTGACACTGAGATGGCCTCGCATTATTAGATGTCTTGACACAAACCATCAATGAAATTGTTATTCAAATTAGATTTCAATACAAAGAGAAGCAGAGGATGGCTTTATATATTAGATCAGAAAGCAGGTTTCTGTAACTACAGATTGCCATTAAGAGAAATTTAAGTTTGTTTGATTATTTAAGGAATTATAAAGAGAAGAGAAGCAAGGAGAAAAAGCTAGAAAGTCTACGAAATCCCCATAAAGAATAAAGAAAAAAATGGAAACTCATATAAGTGTGACCCAAAGGTTGTCGAAAGTCAGACTAACAGAACACAAAGAAAACTAAAAGAGAAAATCTACAGCATCAACAGAGGGAAATGTGGTGGAATAGGAGAGAGCCTGCATACTGCAGGAAATTGGAGAAAAAGAGAACATTACCGAGGCAGAGTAGTTTCGGATTTTTAAGAGGTGCTGAAAACTACAGCTTTGAGAGAGCAAATCTGTCAACAGTGAGTATTTACTCGTATCATTGAACTAGCAAGGGGATAACTGTGCAGGCACGAAAAAAGAGGCTGGGCCTTTGACGTCATCCGGTGTGCCAGCGCACAGTTGCTAGTGTTTTGCTCTCGCAAAGCTGTAGTTTGCAGCAGCTCTAAGGAAGAACTACATTAATTAACTAGTTGAGTAGTTAATGTCAAGAATGCAGAAACACACTAAAATGACATAACAACACAGAGTACACAATGAAGGCATACAGGGACCATTTGCTAAACTTATAATGGAGCTTCTCTGTGTTTTTTTTTTTTTTTGTGTTTTTTAAATTTTCAGAATGTCACATCATCACAGCATTTAAACTACAAAGTCTTAAGTGTCCTTAACAATCGATGGTTTTAAAACTATCAGAATTTTGTGAATGCATTCTAATCTAGTTTTTTTTTTTTTTGGTGCTGCTTCCAAAGACAAGTCATTTAGCTTGAAAGTTCTCAGGCATTTTTGAAATTTTCCGTACTCCTAAAGAAAGCAATATGAAATTGTTTGTAAATAAAACAATTTTTATTTACAAACCTTTGCATATTCTACACTATCTTTCAAAATCTATTACAAAGGTAAATAAGGTAAGTAATATAAAAATATTGTATTTCCAAAGACTGTTTAAATACATGCAATAGTAAAACATATAAATAAGAATTTTCAAATTTGGCTTAATAACTAATAATGATATTTTAAATTAATTAAGTAGTATCGGTATCGGGTTGAATGTCGATGTTGACATCTCCCGCACTCCAAAAGGTTTTGAATTGTTACCTGAAGACAAGGGAAAATCAATCAGTATTTGTTATTTTCCATCGCTTCTTTTTATGTTTGTTCGGTAGAGTGTTCATTGTCCAATCATAAAAATCTTTCGCAAAAGTGTTTGTTATCTGATTTGTTCATTAACCGATCACCCACTGTATGTATATTGACATCTCGAAGCATGACGTATTAATACTAAGCCAAACAATTGCTGTAATGAATTGAGCTATTATTACGCTATAATTAACAATTAGAAACTAACTATGAATGGTTTTATCTAAATTTAAAAATATGCCTGGAAGCAAAGATTTGCTGAAGGTCCAGATGGCATAACTGGCAAGTGAACCACATGGTAAACAGAGGTTGCAGGTTCAAGTCCCACTCTGGGCTAGTTCTTTTTTTCCAGAATGTTTTAAATTATTTAATAAATTATAATTACTAATTTAGATAAGAGATGGTCCCTAACCCCATTTACATCTACTACCAAATTATTAATTATAGCATAATAATAGCTTGATTATATCAGTTGTTTGGCTTAGTATTTGAAATATATTTATTGTCAAATATACCTTGTTCGTTATTGATCGGAAATTTCCAAAGTTTTCCTTCTTCAGTCCATCGGATCATTTCTTCAAAAGCGTTCTTAGGAGGATGAGTCACTAACAATTTTAAATTGTGTTCCTTCAGTTCGTTCCATAATGCTGTTTCTGGTATATCTAATATGTAAAACATTATACTCAGAATTAGCAAAATCTTTATTACCCTCGAAAAAAGAAAATTATCATAGTGATGAAACTGTTTCATTCCTGTATATATTTTCAATTATATAGAATAATTGGCTCAGTGGCATAGCGTGGGTCTCAGCCGCCTGGGGTGGAGGAAAATTTCGCCGCCCCTTTATTTAGGTATCTCAATTTAAAAGACTAAAATTCAGTTTCGTCACAGAATAAGTAATGAAAAATTCCGTGCTCATTTCAATCAGTCCGAATCATAGGTGCGACAAAAATATGAAATGAAATGGTTCAAATTTTTACAAGATATTATTATTATTTATTGGGAAATTTTGCCACCCCCATTACGCTAAGCCACTGAATTGGCTTACAGATTTTTCTACATAATTCTATTTTTACTNGGCATCATCTAAAAGTAGCCAATAATCTCTAATTGTCTGGTAATAATCTAGCATTCTTGTAATCCTTTAACTGGAGTTTGTTTTGACACATGACTCCAGGCAGGAATCAAGGCAAAGGTGGGGAGTGACCATTACTACATATTGGGAGGGCAACCTTGGGACCAACAACAACATGATCAAGTAAAACAATAGTTACAGACGGGTTAACCACTTCACCATCTGGCATCATACTGGGAGTGAGTTTTCACAGAATGAATTACAGATGCAAGCTTATACATGGCCTTTTGTTGTGTTTGTTTAGTTACAGAAGTTCAAATTCTTGGTATTTTTGTTTTCTTATGTTTGATTTTATGCTCATTTGCTCTTTCCTGAAAATGATGACTTCAGCACTTGTGAACAACAAAGAATATCTCAAATTTAAGACACACTTCCAACTTTAAGTTTGAAGATGTGGGAAAAAATGTGTGCCTTAAAGTTGATGTAATATAGTAATGGGGCACTGAAAATCTTTAAATGCTTAAAAATATTTTCTTCATAATACAGTAATATGGTTTAAATTTTCTTAAACAGATCATTTCTAAATAATTTTTTAATTGTAATTTATATCATTGAATATTTAATAACTTTAAAAATAATTAAATACTTACTCGGGTAGATGAGAAACGATAGGTTGCTTACGATGCTTTTCACCCCTCGGAAAAAGAATCTGATCTCGATCTTCGTACATTCTCCTACTTCTTTGATCGAATTTTGGTTTCGGCTTAGATTTATCGATTTTCATTCCCGTGAACACATCACTGAAAAAACATTACTTTGAATGAACTCTTTCTAGACATATAAATTTATTATTTTTGGAAAATATACCTTATATTTTTGACTGATTCGCTTTCATCTACATTGAGCACTTCTTTATTTTCATTTGAGTGACTTCTTAATCTTAATAAGAGTTCGGATTCTGTGTTTTTAACATCGCCTCCTAAACTACTCGCAACATCTTTAACTGCTTTTTTAAGGTTAGGATTGAGTCTTTTGAATCTACGATAAAACATATTAAAAAGGAATTAAATTAATAATATAAATTTAGTTTTAAATATTTTCTGACATGTATTTTTATTACAGATAATATATTTCTTCTATTTTCTTTTTAAATGATAACAGTACTTGCTTCTGTTGGTAAAAACATTTGATAAATAAAGTATTTTTACCAAAAGCGGCACAAACTGTTATTAATTATATAAAATGCCAGTTTACGATGCATATTATTATTATTATTTTTTAAAACTTATTCTGCTCTTTTAATGCTATTGGGGCATTTTTACCAAATGTTTTGTGGATCTAGCAGAGTCGCAATGATGCAATCAGTCAGTAATGGATACTTCCTGACATATCTCGGCCAAACTGCCACAAAAATTTCTGAGAATCTGATCCGGACTCAAATTCTGGTCTCTTGGAATGGCAGGCAAACACTTTGCTGATGTTTTAATAGCCAAGATTTCTTTTATGTTAATTAAATTTGATGAAATAGAAATTTTAAAATATTAATCAATAAGAATATTCTTGAAATATTAAAAACCTTTCTAACCGATGCCAATTTTTAATGTAATTAATACTCACAGCTGTTTCGTACGACCATCTTTGGTATACTTTTGTGTGTTCTGTCTGTGTTTTCATTAAATAAATTTCGTTATGTTAACATTACAAGTGATGTTTAGTTTATAAATAAATTATAATTAATTTCATCACTTTTCAATTAATTTTTACAGAATTTTTACATTAAGAGTGATGCTCAGAAACTTTTTATGGGTGATTGGTCCCAAAAACGTTGTTGACCTTTATCCCTTGCCACCCAGCTGTTCCCATTTTGGGTCTGGTTGCCTCCATGATGGATACAGAAATAGTGCGTATGGAGTATAATTTAAATTATTTCAAGCATTTATTTGTAATCAATTTTATATTAATTTAATTGTTCCGGCAACAAAATACATTGAATAACAACCATTTTAGATATCTGGCACAAAAAACATTTGATAAATTAATGTTTTTGAGCTAGTTTATTGAGCCTTTGTCAGCTAAAGTTTATTGTTATTTTTTCTTTCTTAAATACAATTGAGCCACAATTTGTTACGAAACATATTTCTTATTAAACTGATTAAATACCTTTCATCTTCCAGACGTTCAGACTGTTGTTTCAAATTATTTTTATTCTGTCTGCGAGGTAAAGGCTTTGCTAATTTTAATGTTATCAAACTCTTCTCTGGAGGAATGGAAGTTTCAATCTATTAAAAAAAAACAAAAACCCAATTTTTATTTTACAAAAGTGTAGAATTTAATAACAGTTTTAAAAATTATTACATTAATACAATTAAATGGGAATCAGTTTTAAAGTTTCATTGATAATCACAGAAAACTCATTCCTTTAATGGTGTTTCATCTTTGGAAAAAGGTAAAAATTGCAAGGTTCAAGTCAAATATCGAGGGTGTGGAAGCAATGTAGCACTGATGTTAACCAGATAATTTTGAGCACGAAACAAACAGTACTTTTTCATGACACCACTCCAGTGCATCATTCTTTAAAATCAATAACAGAGAAGTTTATAAGCTGTTCCATTCTGTATTTATGTGCCTTGGAAATTTTTACCTTGTATTTATGGCTTTCAGAGAAGGATAAGATCTCATTTATGACCACCTCAACCTTTATTTTACATCTCTCAAACATGTTTTCACTATTTATTTAATAAATAATTAGTAGTTTATCTAAATCATAAGCAGTATTATAGGAATATTAATTATACCTTCACTTCTGATAGAAGTGATGCCAACTTGTCACTTATCTGAGGTTTTTTAGGAGCAGTTTCTTTAGTCACTTTTTTCTTTACTTCTTCATCATCAGAACTACTAGAATCAGAACTACTGGAATTAGAAGAAAATGCCGACTTTCTTACGACAAAATTAGGAATTACACTTGAACCACATGTTATGTTTATCCAGAACCTATATAACAATAATAAACATTATAACTTTTAAACGGTATTTAATTCAGTAAGATGTGAACTCCGAATGAGGGATTTGCCATCCCCAGAGTTATAGACTCCCATACGAGCAAAAAGTCAATGGAATCAAACACATACATGTGACCTTTTGCGAGATATTCACCTCTAAAGTTTAGTTTTTACCACAAACCAGTGCTCCATGCTCCATGTCAATCAAGGCAAACTAACCGACACTCCGCATATAGTCATGCACTTTGGTGTAAGTGACAGCGAGCACCTCGGCACACGAATGGGTTGAGCCCCACAAACTATATAACATCAAATACTCCACGAACAGTTAAGTAGTCTATTCAAAGCTGGCATAGTCATGGGCCAAACAGTCGAATGTGACAGTCTTAATGAAGCAATGTGACTCCCAATCACATGACCTGAATGAAGGCTGATTTTGGGGTATGCATCTTGCAAAGGATCACATGTAGAGACATGATTCCTTTAACTTTTTGGCTCCTATGGGCTTAGTCTGCAACTCATTCAGAGACGTAATTGTACCTTTAATTCACCATTCATTCTCAAGTATGTAAGCAACAGTTACTTTTAGGTAATTCGTACGTAAATAAATATATACACATTCACCTAAAAGTAACTCCTACTGCATTTGATTCATATACACACACACCAACTAACTTAAATTTCTCATAATACGGCGATAAAGTATAAAGAAAAGGCGAATAACTCGTATAATTTATATAATTTATGAATTAAAATCGATTAACTTAAATGTAATTCGCTTAATTACCGAAATTTCAGCACAAATCCCTCGGACATGATTCTGTTTACGGAGGCAGCCATCTTGTCAGTTTCTGTCACGTGATACATATTTACAAAAGATAAAAAGTTACGTCAAAGTTACGAAACGATTTAAATTAATGGATTAATTAAATTTCGAAAAGTATTATATTAAGAAACGCTTCTCGATAATTAACTTAATTAAGAATAAGAATTGCGTCATAGATATCGTTAAGATGAAAATACACGTGACTAGAAGTCGCGGGTGATTGCACGTCGATTTCAAGGCGAAGGCGTGGAATCCGCGGTAACAGTGAAATTCCGGTTATCTTGCACGCGTTTCTGCAATTTCCTCAATAGAAATTCCACTTTTATAGTCTTATCTGTCGTATTAATGTGTTATTTAAGCAATTATAACAGTATAATTTATAAAAATCTCTGTTGAAATGTGGCTTGATATCTTGCATGCCATTTAAGTTAGTTAAAAATAATGATTTAGTTGGGTTATGGAGGGTACAGACGAGTGCAGACGTTTAAGAGATGGTAGCGATGATGAAGGAGAGAATGTCCTTCCAGGAAAAAACAGGATACAGAATGACAACTTGCAAGAGTTGAATGGGATGGTAAACATTGAGAAGGAGGAATATAAAATAGAAATGGATGCCATTTCGCCTAAAAAATCAACGTTGAAGAGGCAGACTACTCGTAGGGAATTCTTCCTACCGATCCATCAGGTAAATATATAAAGCTTTTTTTCCTGTCTCATTGCATCTATGGTGATAGAACAAAGCAATAAATTATTATTTATTTAATTAAGGTTGTGAGAAATGGGAATGTGGAAGCTCTGAAGTGTTTTCTGAATAATATGGATGCTAAATCCATCAAGAAGCAGATTAATTCCTTGGACGATAAGAATATGACTCCGTTGCATTACGCTTCCCGTTATAATCATTTGGCCATTGTAAAGTTGTTGTTGGAATATGGAGCGGGTGAGTGTTGAATGTATGTGCTGATGATCTAGAGATAATTATATTTAGTGAATTCATAGTTAATTATAATTAGTTATTGCATTAGTCTATAGTTTTGAGTTAATGTATGTAAAACAGCTTAATGTGCATTTAATGGAATTTTTGAAAAAAAGAGCATCAACATTTTCCACTGGTTAACAGGCAAGAAGATGAATGTAAGTGGAAGGTAGAGCAAAACGATAGTCTCTGATAAAGTAAAAAGAAGGGAAGGTGTACTCAATAGTGATGATTAATGTGAAATAGTGAGGAGATATTGCTGGACATGTCATCTTTTGCTTTTGTAGCCCACCTTCTCAATTGTTTATTTTATCTGAGACTATCCCTTCGTCTTTCTTCTGATACTGGTTAATTAATTAATTAATTAATTAATGGGCACCTTAGGATTGCCCATTAACCAGATCTTCTCAGTGCTCTTTTTCAAAAAATTCTACCATTAAAGGTGAATAGTACTGTACATTATCTTTATTAAAATGGTTTTATCTAAATCAATAAAATAAAAAGTAAATGATTTCTTAAAAAAATTACTTAGATTTTATTAAACTAAGTATTTTGAAAATAGCATAAAGTCTCTAAATATATTTAATGAAACAAATTGAGTGCGATTTATCAACAGAGGCTATTGTTTAGTTAAATTGATGTAAAGAATAAAGTTAATTAAATTTGAAAAGTCCAATAATGATGCACGCAGAATACATTTTTACTATCTACAAATTAACCTATTTTTGTTAATAATTGCTCCTTAAAAGTAATAAAATCTTAAGATAACAGTATATTTTTATACCGTTACCTTGAGACTACAGTAAATTATTTTATATTATATTACTAGGCCATACTAGAAGCCGCAGACGACTGCGTATGATTGAAGGTTGCAGTCTCTCTTTAGATCATCCATTAATGATGAAGTTAATTAATAATGGATTAAATGATTGCTTGTAATTAATAAATAATTAATCCAGTATTTTTTCCTGATATCAACTTCAACAACAGATAGTGTAATGCCAGCAATTTAAACTATTGTATTATGAGCAAATAACAGTTAAAATTATTAAAGCAGTGGTTAGGATCTATAACAATAATTGATAACATTTGGATGGTAACATGCAATTATTGAGGCTACTAGTATGAAAAGAAAGTACAGAAAGGTCTGTAGACAGGAATCAAATATAATGATAACAATGACCAAATCTTGATTACAATAAGTGCATTATAAATTGTCTGTTTTGCAACTGGATAATTCTCATAACATTAATTGACTGAGAACATTATCCATGATTACAATAAGCTGAATCTATTTTATATATCAGAAAAATTCAGCCTTGTATCAGGTCAGTCCATAAGTTCATGTGTATTTTTATCTACAAAAAAAATAAACAAAAAANTAGTTAATGTAATTTAAAAGTTTTTACTGTTTAAAATAATTCCTTAATTTTAATTTATTTTTCTTCTATAGAAATTAATAGAAGAGGAGAAGATGATATTTTACCGCTGCATGTTGCTTCTAGATATCGTCGGCCAGTAAGAATAACTTACCTCGTATCAAAAGTTTTAAATTTTATTCAGTTCTTTGATCATTTTTGTTATTGCAGAGTATGTCACCTGTTACAGATGAAGTAGATGCTTCTTACAGCTCTGTAATTGGTCTATTAATTTCTAGAGGTGCTTCCGTTAATTGTAAAGATAGATATGGGCTGACGCCATTACACTATGCAGCTATGAGAGGAAACGTAATGGCTGCTAAAGAGCTCCTACAAAATCCAACTATAAACATTCGGGTAGTTTATTATTTATTTCATTTAGTTTTGTAAGATTAATGGTAAAATAAGATTAATTAATTCTGTGTGAAACCAGGTTACGGATAAACAAGACATGATGCCGTTGCATCTCGCTGCAAATTATGGAAATTACAAAATTGTGGAATTATTAATTGAAGCTGGTTCTCCCATATTAGTCTACGATGAACAGTTTCAGACTCCTCTCCACAAAGCTGCAGCAGAAGGTTACAGTGATATCGTAGAGCTACTGTTGAAAGTTGCCAAAGAAGAAAGTCTAGATATAATGAAAGAAGTATTATTATTATTTGTTTATATTAATTAAATTTTAAAACTATTTATTTATGCTATAAATTTTTAAAATCTATGTATTAACAGATAATTGCAGAAAAAGACGAAGATGACAATTCCGCTCTTCATCTTGCGGTCGAAAAAGGACATTTTAATGTGACGAAAATTCTGTTGGAACACGGTAAATATATGATGCCAAGAAGTATTATTTTGAAAGTATTAATTAACCATGTCATTTAGGCTGGATGGTTGAGACGGCAAGGGCATTAGCATGTCATCCATGAAAATTTTCATGGATGACATGCTAATCTGTCATTGATATGTCAAGCTTCATCTTGCCACCTGCTGCCCAATTGTGGGCCTGGCTGAATCCACAATTAGTATTTTAATCATACTAATTATGGATTCAGCCAGACCAAAGACTCAATCAATTTCTTCTGGATGGAAAGAGTCAAAAATGAGAAAAAAGATTGTAATTGAACTTGCCTGACAATTACAATTTAAGTTCTGTATTAAATGGTTGGATCAATACTGCAATCCAGTCTGCTTTGCAGCCAGGGTGTCCCTCTTAGCTGCAGAGTCCTATGCGATTAAAATTGTTAATTAAGGAACTTCAAAATGGGCAATAAACTTTTGATTAATTAATTTTAAAGATTATCCAAAATGTGGATTTTCTATATTTTTATCTTGCCAAAAGACACAACTGTACAGGAATCGTTCATTAGGTATTGTTATTTTTTGCTCTTGCCAGACAAATAGATATAAAAATATTTCATCAGACATCTGCCATCTAAGTAACATTTGAGTCACTCCTTATGTAGCAGACATTTTTCAAGAATTTGACTGTACAAGATGTTTTGGGTATAATTACATAATAATATTTCAAAATGCATAAACACCATTTAAAAATTTTAAGTAATAAGTTTTCTTGTTCAGCATGTGCATGTGTTTCCTTTTATATAGATGGTCATCCAATCCTCCTTTTATCCAAAATTTCCACTACAAAAATGTCTTTTTAGAAGGAGTTTCTTTGTTAAATTTTGCCATTATGTCTTGTTATCTAAAATTTTATTTATTTAGTGCCAAAGAAAAGTGCAAAATAGAACAAAAATGAAAGAATATATTTGTGTAAAGGGTCTTCCGAAAGGAATTCTACCATTTTAAATTATTGTTATTATGTTAATTATTATCTGAGAACATTGTAACGTAAATTAAAGCATTGGAAAAACATCCAAGTTTTGCATTTACCAATTAGGATTTTTCAATGTGTGCATCTTGTGTCGCATGACACACATCCAACTGATACTCAGTTTTTTCCTTTGCTAGCTACAGTGTATTATTAATACCTATTTATATCAGTGTATATCCTATTTATTGATAGTCATAAGTAACAATAGAAGAGAAAAAAGTAAAGTAATATTGGGATTGAACAGGTTTATTAATCAAATTATAGTTCAATTTCATATGTTTATTAATTGAATTAACTTATTAAATCATGAAAAAATTATTTTTATATCATATCTTGCAATTCATTTTTGAATTGATTATTATTCTCTAGATGCGGATGTAAATTCTTCCGGAGAATTTCGCATGTATCCATTACATTTGGCTTCAACGATAGGCAGCTTGGGTATCGTGAAACTTTTAATTGAGTATAATGCTCAAGTAAATTGTTTAAATTATCAACAAGAGACACCACTGCATAGGGCTGCATCATTCAATCACAAAGATATCATAGACTATCTAATTAAACAGTAAGTTTATATATATATGTGTATGTATATGTGCTTGTATGTGTGTTAGATATTTGAAAGAGATTGGGAAAGATTTATATTATGTTTTAAGAAGGTCAATATAAAAAATTTCCAGTAAACATATGTTTAAGAATAAATCATTTTTATTTTGTGCAACATTTTAACAGAGGTTGTGTTTCAAATAAGGTTGAATCAGTCATTGTGGTTACTTAGCTGAATTAATCGATATACATTTAACAGTGGGTGAATTTTAAAGAACACTAACCTTTTTGTTTTGTTAATCAGATTCTCTTTGGGTTTAGACAGTTGGAAGTGGAAGGCCAGTCTCCATAAGGAAGGAAAATTGAATAGAGTAAACAAACAGTAAAAGATGGTCTATTATGACAGTGGTTAGTGCAACAGACTGAGATTGCCATTCAGGGAAGGGATTCATTGTTCCTGCCATTTAAATACATGTTGGTAATGGTGTGGCTGTCAGCCATACTATAGTTTTTATTTAGTTTGTAAGTTCTTTACTTTATTTCTAGTTTCTTCCTTTGTTTCTACTTTCTTACTTCATTTCCATTGTCTCAAAGCAATTTCTACATAAACTATTACTGCTTGAGGGGGAGGATTACCCTTTCTAAGAACCAAGAGTTGAACAAAGGAGAAGGAGATTAAGACTTCCCCGAATTTGAGGAGATAGACAAAGGAAGTAAGAGCCCAAGGCAATGTGAGAGATGAGTGGTAGTCACGTTTTGGCTGGACCTTGGAGGGAACAGACATTGTGCGCAGTGCTCCAGACTCAAAAGAGAGTGAAAGAGAGGAGACTGCAGCTGAGAGAGAGAACCTGCTAAGACCAGGGAAAGAAAGAGGTACAAGGATCCATAGGACACTAGGAGAGTTGGAGAACCTAGACATCGAACCGCTGGTTTAGTAGAGACAGAGAGGAGATCATGATTGTGAGAGCAAAAATTGTTAAGGGTATCAACTAAACGACTTGGACCAGGGTACTTTCTATTTGCCTTTCTATCTTTTCCTTACTTTCCTAAGTCTATCTGTTTCCTTTCCTTATTAGTTTTAAGATAGCTATAAGATTAGTTTAAGTTAGTCATTAAGTTTATTCCTTTGTTCTGTGCTATGCGCGCACGTGCCTACCTGTAAAATGATAGGAGGCAACCCACTTCCCTGTGTAGATATAAAAGTGAAAATCTGTCGAGTTGGGATCTGTATAATAAAAGAACCACATTCAGAGAGAATTAAAAGAATATTCATCGTGTGCAATTTTGTTTCTGTGTTGTTATTTGTAACGGTTACTCGCGGACCTACAAATATCTCTTTCCGAACTACCACAATGTGTAGTTGTAGGTGTAGTAATAAATTTCCTCCTCTGCCTGCATTGTAGAAAAGTATGAATTTTATAACCACACCATTATCGACATATGTGTACTCAGCGGGACAAGGATTTCATTTTCCCTGCCTTGCAACATATTTAGTTATCTGAAGATGGCTCATTAACTGGATCAAAACTATTAGCATTCTTTAAACTTCAAACACTGTTAAAGGTGCATTGATTAATTCAGTGTATTTCAAACAAATAAGAGAATAATTAATGTGCATTTATTACAAATAAGAAATTTTGTAAGAACACATGAATTTTGAAAAGAGTATTACAAATATTACAAAAACGTATATGAGATGTTTTCCACTAATTTGAATACATGCAAAAGCATAGGAATTTTCTTTCTAATCTTTTTAAAATGCCCTATTAATGATTAAATGATCTTACCATTTCAATAAAAACATTTTCAGTGGTGCTTTGATAGAATGCCGCTGCATAAATCATTTCACTCCTCTGTTACTTGCTGCCAAAGAAGGTCATATCGATGCCATAAAGATATTATTAGAGAACAATGCAGACGTTTCAGTTGTCGACAGAAACGAGAAATCAGTTGTTTACTGGTTATGCGAAAGGAACCATCCCGAAGCATTGAAAGTAAATATACTATAAAAAATTATTGTACTGTTGCTTAATTATAATGTCATTAATAAGAATTTTGAAACGTGTGTAATAGATATTATTGGAAGATAGTTTTGCACCAAATTTAATTTTCAAAGAAGATGCTTATGAAAATAATCCTCTGCATGTTGCAGCAGAACATGGATATGCCGACGTATTAAAAGTAAGAACACTTTTTTATTTAATAACTTCAAATGTGTTTGAATGTAGCTTGTAAATCTAAAAATTTTTAACAATATTCATATTGTGATTATCTATTAAACATCAAACTTAATGTATCATAATTATATCCTCGTGTTATTTATAGATAAATATTTTTTAACTACAGATTTTGTTAGAGCATGGAGCTGATATTCACAGTAAAAATGAAGATGAGGAAACTGCATTACATCTTGCAGCTCAATCAGGACATAGAAAGTATGCATGGCAAAGAATATGACTTTCTTTTTGCATTTTTAATATTTTAAGTAAACTCTTTCTTAACATAGTGTCGTAAAGCTTTTGTTGGAGACGAACAAATCTATAGTAAATGCCGAAGATGAGGAAAAGAATACTCCACTTCATGTTGCTGCACTTAAAGGACATCAGAAAGTAGTAATAGATTTGTTATATGCCGGTGCAAATGTAGAATCAAGGTAAATATTTATTTAGAATTTATATACAGTGGTATCTTGACACTCAAACAATTTGGAATTCAAACGTATGTTCAGGGCTGCTCTGTAGTTGGCTGTTTCCTTGGCACTCAGCCAAATAAACGTGACCTGCTAGAACAAATTTTTGATTAACAGCAAATATTTTTATTTTATCTTTAATTTTGTTATCCAAAAAAAATTTTCATATAATAAAAATGAGTAACTAATTTAAAAATAAAATGAAATTGAGTTGTCTATCTTCATCAGGCAAAATTATTTATTATGTTTATGTTACTTTTTTTATGATTTATGCATGCTAGGCTTTTAAACTTCTTGTTAAATTTGTATTAAATTCTAGTTAAAATACTTTTATAAATGCATTTTTGGTGGTCTGGAGTGGACTAATCTAATTAACATTATTTCTCATGGGAAAAATTCATTTGATACACGAACAGATTGGCACTTTAACAGCCTTCTAGAATGAATTAAGTTTAAGAACTGAGGTAGTACCACTGTACACTTATGTTAACATAAAACTTGTTCATCAAATGTAACTCAATGATTTAGGTTTTGTTTTTATATATAAAGTGCCATAGCAATATCAATTTTATGTTCTTCTGAAGCATATATGAAAATTAGTGTAGTGAAGAACACTGTAGAAGAATACATGATTTTGCTGTAGTACATGTAAGAGGAGATTGCCAAGTACGTTAGTATCTGCTCCATAATTTAAAAGCACATTTACATCATCTAGGTTGCTTAGTTCAACTTATATTTAAGTATAATAATGATTATTGACTTTTTTAACTACATCTTATTACAGATATATTTGACTTCTTGGTTACAGGAAGATTATATTTAATAACAGATAATCGTATAGAAGGTCCTCATAAACTTCAGATTCATTTATTTTCAAAAGAAAGATTATTATAACATTTATTTAATGGTCTTTACTATCTTGTCCATTTACTGAGAAAATTTTTAAAGTTGTAACATGATGTCTTTGATACTATTTAAATAACTTTTTTCCAAGAAAATATTTTAAAAATTTATAATAAAGATTATTTACTCAAATTTATAACTTATTTTTATAGAAATTGTAATTTGTGGACTGCTTTAGACTGTGCTGCTTATGGTGGTTGGTTGAAAACGGCAAGAATTCTTCTTAAAGCTGGTTCTCCCGTCGATCCTTTAGACAAATCCAAAGTGAGTTTTTGTTATTTATTATACAGGCTCCTCTTCTGAAAAGAATGCTACCATTTTAATTTATTGTAATTATGGTAATTATTATCTAAGAACTTCATAACATGCATTAGAACATTGTAAACTGTCCAAGTTTCACATTTTCCCATTGCAGTTTCTCAGTGCTTGCACCTTGTGTCATGTGTCCAATGAACACTCAATTTTGTCCTACACTTGCTATGGCATATTCATCATTATTCTGCTCCCAGAGCAGCCACAATTCTACAGTTTCTACACTCCACAGCTGTAATCCGCATCTCCTGCACAGTGATGAGTGATTCTGACTGTGAAGTGCAAAACACAAAATACCTTATCTGTTGTGGGCTTGCCACTTTTGTTTACAGTTTTTCCTAGAGTTAGTAGATGACAAGATATTTAAATGCAGATGGGAAATGAAATTTGGACAGTTACTCTATTGATTGGTGTATTTCACATGCTACTTGGATAATAATTAACATAATTATCCAATTAATTATCATCAAAACATAATTACAGTCATTTAAAGTGGTAGCATTTATTCCGGAAGACTCTATATTAGTACCGAGTGCATTAATAATTAAAATTTTCTATATTTTATATCTTATCTGCAGACGACACCACTTCATTTAGCCGCATCCAAAGGGCATGCAAAAGTCGTGGAAATGCTTTTAGAATTTAATGCTAAAATCGGTCAAGTCGATGCAGAAAATAATAATTGTCTAGATTTGGCAATTAGATCGAATCAGAGGTACAATATTGATATTAATTTTTTGCTTTATTGTAAGTTTTTTTTGAACAAATATACTTAAACTTGTAATGACTTTTTAGGGAAGTTGTTTTAGTTATAATTAATAATAAAAACTGGAAAGATGCTTTACGAAACTTTACTACCAGTAGTAAATATGGTATTCATCAAACTCCATTGAGAAAACTTATTAGACATATGCCGGGTAAATGATTTTGCTGTTCTTAAAAATATCATTTAATGTATTCTTTTTATATTAAAATCTATAAAATGTGCGTTTTTTCGTATCCTAGATGTTGCGGAACAAGTGTTTGATAAATTTATAACAGATAACGGATATAATAGTGAACACCCAAAACTGAAAAAATACTATAATTACGAGTTTCTGGACGATATGTTTGTTACTTCATTCAGTTTTGAAAGTCGAGGAAGTAGAGAAAGTCTTTTTGATTCATGTATGTAACCTTATAAACAATAATTCTAGAATAATTCTACTCTTCATTGATTTTGGTTTATTTTCTTAATGTTTATCTTTAATATCAATTAATGTAATGTTACAATTCTAAAATGCTACTAGAATTAATAAATAAAGAAACGTTAGCAAACAAACAAAGAGTCCAGAAAAGTCTTTTATACTTGATAAAGAGAGTGGAAGAGAGATAAGGAGGTTAGTGTTATGGATATCTTTTCAACTAAACTTCAGTGAATTTACTTTTAAGGGAATTTGTAAATATTAAGACAGTTTGTACACAAATGATTTTTGACTTCGTGAGGAATGAAGATGAGAAGATTTCGCAAGATATGAAAGGAAAAAGATATAAGGTACTGTTGACTGAATGAGAAAAAAAATGAGTAATTTATTTTCATAATTGAAAATTAAAAAAGGGGCAATTGCCTGGGGCCCCCAACAACAGGAGTATCCAAACCAATCTTTTATAAAGTCATCACTGTAGTAAGAATATCAAAATTTAAATTTGGGCCATATCTGGGCAATAGATTGCCAGTTTTGTGTAAGTGCTGGGTGCACTGGCACAGCACAAAGGTCGCATTAAAAAGTGAATGAGGATATGGGGAATTTCCCAAAAATTTCCCTGAACAAAAATTTTAGAAGTTAACCCTTTACTGTACATGGGACCCCCTAATTCAAATATGCCTGGGCCCAATAAAGCTATAATGCACCACTATGTTAGTAAATCATATTAAATTTAAACAATAGCTGTTTGTTTGTAAATGTAAATTACAGAATTTCTGTGTATTGGTCTTCTTAACATGTTCTCTTATTTACATAGAATTTAGTTAATGTAATTTAAAAGTTTTTACTGTTTAAAATAATTCCTTAATTTTAATTTATTATTATATCAGTTGTTTCTGAAAAATATATTAATTGTTTTTGTTTTTTTAATTAATGAAGCTAGTATTTATGATGAACATAATAAAATAAAAACAACAAGTCTGCTGTACACTGAGGATAAAGAAATTTTAAAACAAAACCATCCTCTGATGTTGATGGTAAGTTAATTAAACACTATTAAAATATATATAATATAAATTAAATATCAATTTAAAATTAGAAAAGTCTTTCAGAAAGTTTAGAATTTTAAAAGAATTTATTAATTTTTATAAATAATTTTGTAAATAATTTAATAGGATTATTAATAATCTGTACTTTTGGGTTTTAACTACATTGAAAGCTAAATATATCCATTCTAAACCTATATTTGAGAAAAATTTCATAAAAAAACTGAATAAGATATTGCAAAACTGGACAAAATTACATTAAAAGAACTAACTAACACCTGTAATCCAGTTAAAATGAACCAATTTATTATAAAAACAAATGCTTTTGGCTGTTACTAACAGGCCACTTCAGGTTATGGAATGTTACATAGAACAAAATTCAAAAAATGAAATTTAAATAAAATAAAACTCGTTAAATTTGTACTGGTGGTCACATGTGTAAAAGAACATTGAAGAAAAATAAAATACAAAACAATATAATGGGTTAAAAGAACATTTTATAATTATTATCCATATGTTTCTCATAACATATTAATCTAACTGAGATTAATAATTTTAATTATTTGTTTAGATAAATAGTACTTAAAATGAACTTTATGCATGTAAATATTTTTTCACATATATATTTTTAGGTTACTCTACAAAAACAACAATTATTGGGACATCCAATATGTACAAGTCTACTGAATTACAAGTGGAAGATCTATGGAAGATATGTGTACTACACAAATCTCCTATTATACATTTTATTTTTAATATTTTTCACTGGATATGTAGTATCTAACCATCCTCCTTGTCCCGATTCTGATGAATTTAAAGAATGTTGGTAAGTGATATAATATTATAAATATAATCGTTTTTATCTAATCTTACAAACAAATAAGGCATACAGAATCTTACAAAATTCTCATTTTTTGAAAATGTTATAAGATTCTATATACGTTGTTTGCTTCAGAATCAATTTCATAAAGATGACATGCTTGTAAAGGTTTCCGAGTGGCTGAATTTACATTTTTTAAAGTGTATTAATGCTGGAAGAGTGTTTTAGCAACCGTCCATATTCAGGCAGAGAAATGCCTACAAAAGAAAGTTGATATACACTATAAGATTTTGAATTCCTGTGTGTAAAAGGATGAATCTGAAGAGTTTAAACTTTATTATGTTCTAATTATGAATATCAAAAATTATGAATAAAAATTTAATTCTCACAGAGACATTTTTTGGCTTTCTGAAAGCCATCATCAACTATTTAAAAATAGAATAAATCATCTGGAATGGAATATTTGGAAATTCAGATATTAGAATGGAAGTGGTTCAATGTATCAAATACTAGTCGTGAGAAGGCAATCAGTTGAATAATCCAAAGTTTGTCAAAAGTTGATATATTCTCACTTCATAGCAAACAGGTCAAACACATCGAAAGATGTGTTTGATCTGGCACTTGTTTCCACTTTGTACTGGTATGTATGTCAATGTGAACCTATCTTTATGGAGAATTTTTGTTCTGTATCTCTCTATTAACTCAAATATCATCTTATATGAGTTTGCATCAATTTATTTCAGATTAAATATTTGACGATGATTTTGAAAAAGCTGAAAACACTTGTGGCCGTATGCCATTGTATAATTTTCACGTAGTCCTAGTTTTAGGAAATTTCCTTTGTTCTTTGTTCCATCTTACTTCTAGAACTTTCTATTTTTGCTCTACTCCCTTGGGTGGTGAGAGCCGATTTGTGGAACCATGTGAAACAAAGAGGGGAAATGTTACCTGAGGATACATGTTGGAGCAAGTGGATCATTTTTCGGCTGGCCCTCATAAAGTATCATCTCCATGATGCTTTGTGTCATCAAGATCGGCAAGACTGGTGAAACAGAACTAGCTTGAGAGGGTTTAGTGAACTTATCAAAGTGACAATACAGCAAGTCTTGAATCAAAAAAAAAAAAAAAGGGAAAAGGAAGACAACGACTGGAAATCAGTCCAAGTTGGTTTCATGCAGTCCCTCACCGAAAGTGTGTTACATTCGTACACCCCGGATATTGTATTCTTATCTGTTATCTATTTTGCCGTGTATTACCTTTTCTTTCTGACTTCCCTTTTATTTAGTATAAGTTAGTTTTAAGTATTACCTGTAGTTAGCGCATTATCTGAGCTCTGTTCTTTGTACGTGTCACGATATTTTTGCCTGTTGTTCGCCAATAATTTTGGCAATGGTGTGTTATTGTTTATTGTTATTGAGTTGGAATCCTTAAGAACCTGTATCTTTTTTGCAAAAATATATACTTTGTTCCACCATCTGCTGTGCGTGATTCTTTATTCGGTGTATTCACCTTCATCAGCTAACGATCATCAACTATGCACTTCACACACTTCTGTGAGAATAAAATTTTCAACTGCCTTAATCCAGCAGTGTATTTGTGTATTTAAAATATTTTTACTGTTGTTTTAATTACAATGTATTAAAGAATTTTTAGAAAATATCAAAATAATATATTTAGGTTAGTAAAAATTATTTTGGTTCTATCAATTTAAATACATTTCTGGAATAATTTGAGTGTTATATATATATTTGATCTTTCAGAAAATCAATGTTTATATAGAATTTCATTTTCAATAATTTCCTAACTAAATAATTTATTGATAAAATTATTATTTGTTTAGTTCCATAGCAAATATCACAGGTTGTCCTCTTGCCTTAGGAAACTGCAAACGTCACGATAAAGCTTTCCATCAATTTTTTGAATATATGTCAACAACAGCTTTATATTTTTTGACTGTTGTTCATTTATTAAAAGAGGTAAGAATGAAATTAATATTACAGTCCAAACTTTTGAAGATAAAATTTAATTTGAGTTTGTTTTGGAGGTACCATTTTAATATCTAACTTACATTTCTCAATGTCGAGTAAGGATATAATAGAATAAATAAAAAATTTATTGCTTTATGGAATGAATTTTTATAGTATGGTTGTATGTTGAGTTAACATTCACTTGGGAAATGTACAACTGCATATACAAGATGTACCAGCAGGGTTCAAAAGTGTTTGTATTTTGTGATATAAAAATCCATTGTAATAATATATAGCAAGGGTAGCCAAACCTTATTATGATAGGAGCCATATACTGCATATCAGAAATATGTGAGAGTCACATCCCATATTGGAATGTATAACCTACATATATAATTGCATATACATGTAGAATGGGAAATGGAGTTAAGCAGATCTCCTGTTTTGCCCTGGGTAAGTGACTTTAAAAACAATAGGATTGTCCTTATTGGGAAATGAACCACGAACAATGAGAACTCTCATCCCTACACAAAAAGATAGGTAGACCATTCTTGGTCTGGAGACCAAAGGAAATGAATGGACAAACAGTTCCAAGCTCAAATTTGAAAGTGATCAAAGAATTTACATACACACATTCAACTTTGATGCTATTCCTCTATATATATATATACAGTATATAAAGTCAGACTCTTACCTCCTAAGTAATAAGGGGTACAGGTCTGATATATGGGAACCACAATAAGGGTCTAGAAGAGCCATATGTGACTAATGTATTTCACATTCAGCCACATTAATTAATAATTTTCAATTTTAGAATTAGACAGGTCACCATCGATTGGAAACTGTAATGATTAAATTTAAATTAATTGCCTTTTGCCATTTTGAGATGTATATGCCTGGAGCATGATGTAGTATTTACAAGTATTAAAATTTAATTGAATTAATTTAAATTTACTAATTTTAAAATTTTCAGTATATAGAGCAGTGGTTCCCAGCATTTTTAGACTCATGGAATGCTTTAAATAATTATGTGAAGGTTGCGCACACGTTATTTTTAAATATAAGATAATTATGACAGACCTGTTGCTCAGTTTCATAATATTTAACTGTTGTTGATCATTGTTGAGAGTTTATGGTACTAGAATTACAAACTTAATTCACTTTTTACTACCCAAAAATGAACTAGCTGTTTCTCATCATGTGATAATGGAAATCTTTCTCCCTATTCTATGATAGAAAGAGGGATTTAAAAAAAAGAGAAGAATGTTTTAACCAATTAGAAATTCTTGGTAATAGTGACAAATTAAGTTAATTTTTTAAAACAAGTTGACAATTAGAAGGAAGTTACAAGAAAATCAGTCATGCAATCAAAAAAGAATGTAGGATTATTCCGTATTCATGTTCAAACCATGCACAGAACATAATTTCTATCTGTATACATGGCTGGTAATAGCTTATACACACAGGATCTTCCAGAAAGAATGCTACCACTTAAAACTTTAATTATCTTAATTATTTATTATTCAACAAGTATGTGATGTACACCATCAATAGAGTAACCATCCGAGATTCATCTCCTGTCTACATTTAAACATCTCTTGTCTATTGACTCTAGGAAATACTGTAAACAAAAGTGGTGACTCCACAGTAGAGAAGCATTCTGCAGTTTGTAAAATTGGAATCACTGTCAACATGAGTTGACAAGTGATTTAAATTTTACAGTACAAGTAATTTGCAGTATTAGTACAATTGTGGCTGCCGTGGGAAAGTGAATACAGGGAGAACTTGAGTATTGGTTGGATGTGTGCTGTGTGAAACAAGATGCGTGCATTGAGANGCAGTAAATCATTAAATTTTATAAATGTTAAAAGTTTAATTAGAAATTTTTGACAAGACTATGTCTCGTCTCTAAAATTGCGCTGCTGTCAATGGTCAACAAGTATGTGATGTACACCATCAATAGAGTAACCATCCGAGATTCGTCTCCTGTCTACATTTAAACATCTCTTTGTCTATTGACTCTGGGAAATACTGTAAACAAAAGTGGTGACTCCACAGTAGAGAAGCATTCTGCAGTTTGTAAAATTGGAATCACTGCCAACACGAGTTGACGAGTGATTTAAATTTTACAGTACAAGTAATTTGCAGTATTAGTACAATTGTGGCTGCCATGGGAAAGTGAGTACAGGGAGAACTTGAGTATTGGTTGGATGTGTGCTGTGTTACACAAGATGCGTGCATTGAGAAATTGTAATAAGCAAATGTAAAATTTGGATTATAATCCAATATTTGTAATTTCCAAATTTTCAGAATAATTCTTTTATTTGCAGTTATTTCAACTAAAACAACAGAAATTACAATATTTTACTTTTTAGTGGGCTTTCTTTCATACAGCCTAAACAAGAGACAAGCGTTTTTTCAATACTCTCACACGATTTTCCATATTCCAACTGTTTTTTTTTTTACTAATCTCTGTAATAAAATAATTTTTTTCTTATTTAGTGTTAAGGTTGAGGAAATTTTGCAAATAGAATGTCTAATTAACACATGAACTGTGAGAATACATTTGTATTTTTTAATTTTATTCTTTAAGAATCCATTTGAAACTCCTGCCGAATCTTTACTGAAGACTAGCGTTATGATGATTGGCGAATTTGAGTTTGATGCTATTTTCAATGATCCGGAGAATCCCATCTATTTCAAAGGACCAACATACATTTTATTTGTTCTATTTCTTATATTAATGTCAATTATAATCATGAATCTGTTGGTTGGACTTGCAGTCGACGATATTAAAGGTGTTCAAGAACAAGCTCATCTGAAACGACAAGCCATGAAGGTAGGAATCTATATTCTAAAAATATATTTTATGCATTTATTAATTTCTTATTTTTTCTTAGTTAATGTATAAAGATTTTATGATATGAATATAACAGTTAATCTGCACAAAATTTAATAATGCTGTGTATTGTAACAATTGTTGTCTTAACAGAGATGAAATAATGATATGCAAGTATGCCATTTATTTATTAGATTCTTCCATTGACATGTTTCAGTTGACATCCTGTCATCATCAGTATGGAATTCGCCAGAGTTACTTAATCACAATACAACTATATTTCAGAACTCATCACCATTTGCCAACACATTATTATAAATGGCTAGTTATAAAGATTGACAAGATATATAAAAAACGACATATCTGCATACCTCAGGAAGTCAACACAAGATTTTAATTATGTTCTACATCATTTTGCTTTATGGAATAAGTGTACACTGAAGATGGTCTTATAATTGACCAGAATAATTGACTTATTAAAGTTTTGACTTTCTGAACTAAGCAATTATTTTATACATTAATGTAAATGACTGACATTGAATGCTAGGAAAGAGCTTTGGCTATATTTTAAATTTGGACCTTTCCTAATATTATTTATAGTTACGCTACTGCACAAGAGCATTCTTGACACAAAAATGTTGCAGTAGTATAACTAGAATTGATACTAGGAGGTATCTGAATTAGAATGTGCAAACCTATATTCATCTCTCTCTGTATCACTGTCAATATAGCCACATAGTAATGTGGAATAAGAATAAAGTCTTAGATATTGTGTATACATGTATATAAGTACATTTGACATGTTCAGATCTTCCCTCTGTAATTATTTGATTTTTCTTTCATTTATTTATTTACAAAGGTAAACCCAAGCTTTATGAGCAGCCCTAGTTACATTATTGCTCTTGTGTAATGGACAAAGATGCTTCCTTGGGCTGCAGTACCAGGATTTTTCTATTCTTGCTATCCTATGCTTTCTTGTAAGATGTGTGCTTTTTTATTTGATATGTCATACCTATAAATTCCTACTATAGTCTGTCTGTCATTCCTTAATCCGAAGAATAGAGTTAGATAGAAGAAAATCAAGACTAAATATGGAAAACTTAGGAACAGGAAGCCTTGATTAACTATATATGAACTTCTGGTGTACACCAGAAGTCACGTTATTTCACTTAAAAAATTTTTCCCAGAATGGAGTTAGATAGATGACCAGCACGACTCTATTGCTAATAAGAAAAGTATGAAGTGTAGGGGCAAGACACTATGACACTAAAAATATTGAGAACATTGTGATGAAAAATTGCAGCTTGACATTATGACAATAATACAATAATTATATTTATATTCCTATATTGAGTTACGTTATTCTAGCACAAGGGTGGGCAACCTTTTTTATAACATGGGCCAGAATAAATTTTACGTTTTTTCCACGGGCCATAGTAGTTAATTGACACCTTGTGACCTGTAAATTTTTAGTCTGCAAATATGAAATAAATAAATAAATAAATAAAAAGAAATTAATTACTACTGTCGACCTCCCTATAACACTGTTGATTATTCCGTTTTATATGAATTCCATGTTGTATGAGTCACTTAGATTTTACAAATGCGTGTGCCGGGCTGTGAACGGCTCACCTATTTGTAAAATCTAAGTGACTTTAAACACAATAAAANTGGAAAACTTAGGAACAGGAAGCCTTGATTAACTATATATGAACTTCTGGTGTACACTAGAAGTCACATTATTTCAATTAAAAAATGTTAGATAGATGACCAGCACGACTATTGCTAACAGGAAAAGTATGAAGTGTAGGGGCAAGACACTATGACGCTAAAAATATTGAGAACATTGTGATGAAAAATTGCAGCTTGACATTGTGACAATGATACAATAATTATATTTATATTCCTATATTGAGTTATGTTACTCTAGCATACATAATTAAATAACTTTAGTCTTAATTTATGCAATTAAAATTAATTAAATGTTTTTAAGTTTAAGATTGTATATTGTCTAAAAAAATTGTTTGAGCAAAATAGTGAATGTAATTCTCTTTTTAATACAGGTTGATTTAGTTTTAAATGTAGAAAGCGTTCTACCAGTTTGGGCTCTTCGTAAATGTACAGTCAGAATGAGAACAGTTTGTCCAAATGTGAAAACGTTGTATCAAAGAATTGTCTCTTATATATGGCCAACAAGTAACATAACCCCGACACAACATTTTTTTAAAGTTAGTTTAGTTTAATTTTTAAATAAATAAAATTTTTGCATGGATTTGTTTGTTTAACATTGCCAATATATTTTTTTATAGACTGAAATGGATCGTGTTCAAGAGAAACAGGATATGATGTCGAGGAAAATTGAAAACTTACAAAAGCAACTTCTACATTTGAAAAGGCAAAATAAAGATATTTTATTGATGTTATCAGACATGTCTAAACAGTCTGAAGAAGATATTTCAGACAATGATAGTTGTTAATATTTATTATTGATATTAATCTTAATTTTCTAAAGATGATTTTTCATAATTTTATACGGTGTAGGGTCTTCCAAAACAAATTATATTAATTATTACTTAAGACTATGTGAAAAATATAATCCATATTTGATGCAGTATTCTTTCATTTAATTTGAAAAACTCATTGTGTCGATGACAAGTTTTTTGTCCAAAAAGAGTTGTCGTCTGCGCAATAACGAGTTTTTCAAGTCAAATTAAATGATTTAAATGAAGGAATAATGCATTAAATGTGGATTATACTTTTCATTTTCTTTCAAAAGAACTGTTTGAGAGTGTTTTTATGCAACAAGAACTATGTGGGGTACACCAATGAAAGAGTAAATACCCAAGTTTCATCTATCATCTACATACAAACATTTTTTTTTTCTCTGCTGCCTCCATAAACAAAAAATGCTAACTCCTCAATAAAGAAAGCATTTTTTGTTCTGCGGTTTGCAAAGTTGAAATCAGTCATGGCAATTCACTTTAAAATTGTCATTTTCATACAATTTCAAAGTGATCTACTGTGTAACACAACACATTCCTGTTGTATAATGATGAATGATTTCGAGTTTGTGGACTGCAGAACACAAAACACTTCGTCTTGGATATTTACTCTATCAATTGGTGTATGTTGCATAGTTCTTTGGTAATAATTAACATTATTTGCAGTATTTTAAAAAGGTAGCATTTTTTTGGAAGACCTTGTATTTCTGTTATTATTTATTTTAATGTTGCTTCTTTACAACACAGAATCTTATTTTTGTTTCAGTCTTTAAAAAATACAAAAGACTTTACTTTTTTAATGAATATTTTATAAATTACACAAGTTAGCATAACTAATAATACACTGAAACATTTTCAGTTTTATAATTCAATTTTCATAACTGAACTTTTGTATTATCAAAAGAATTGCAGATTGATAATCCTTTTCATCAATCTTTTTAAATTTCTAACTTATAGCCTATTATTTCCTTACAAAGGAAGAATAATTAATGAAAAGTACATTAATTATATTCAAAATTAATTTATAATGTTTCCATAAATACTTTTTATGGTATTTACGTATCTTAATACAGTAGAGTCCCGAAAACTTGGCATTCGATAACCCGGCAGTCTGGATGACTCGGCGCAAGCTGTTATCCTCCCTTCTTTCTGCAAATGATGATGGTCAAGGTCTTATCCAGAACTTAAAGAAAATTAACCTATTGGATGTTGTTGGCTGGGTGGTGGATGCCTAGAATGAGTTAGAGTCATTAACACTAGTTCGTTTCTGGCGAAAACTCCTTGATCATGAGGGAAATCAGTTCATTGAACATGATGATGTAGAAAATTTAAACTTACTCGACCTCCTGAAAAGAGTTCCTGGATGTGCAGAAGCTGATGACAATGACTTTGAACAGTGGTTCCAGAATGATACCAAGCAAGACATTATGTCCGATGCAGAAATTATTGCTGTTGTCACAGTTAATGAAAAAATACCGGAAAATGATAAAGACGTTGACGTTGAGGACTCCACCATACAAGCTCCTAAAATATCACATAGTGAGGGACTAAAGGCTGTTGAAACCTCCTTTCCATATTTTGAACAAGGTGTGTCAGTTATGGACTTACTGTTCCTTCGTCGTCTTCGTGATGAAGCAGCAAAACACAGAGTGCATTGCGAAAGACAATAGGACATTACGCATTTCTTTAAAAAAAGTAGCCAGTTTTTGCAAAGTCGGGTAGTTAATTTTCATTATAGACAGCTTTATGCTTCATAAAGTATTTTTGTGAGGTCTGTCTTATTAGGTAAATTACTGTACACTGTGTATTCATTAATTTTCATTTTCATGTAGTAAAGGCTCTGTGCCTTCATAAAACACGTACTTTTCTTTTGTTTAAGGGCATTTGGGCAGTTTATTCTCTGTTGTATTCTCAAGCAAACAATATATACAAGTACAGTACAGTATTTTCTGAGGAAACACTCGTACTTATTCTTTTTTAACCCCATTCCCAATAACTCGGCATTTTCGCATACTCGGCCACCCTTTGGTCCACATTAGGCCTCGTTTTCGGGACTATACTGTATTACTTAACATGAATTTAATCATTAATTCCTAAAATTAATTTATATGTTAAAATACAAAAAAAAAAAATAGAAAAATATTTTTTTAATAACTTTTATATAGAAAATATTATTTTTATGAAATGAAGTGTTAAATTTGTAAAGTTCTAAATGTGCAATGTAGTTTAATTTTTAAAAATTCATATATGAAGAATTTCAAAACATTTTTCATTCATAAATTGAGAAAAGAAATATGAGAAAACATATTTTAAACTTATTTATTTCTCATATTTGTCTTCTCTCTATCATAATAATAAAAAGTTATATAAAATTCTTCTAATAGTACAATTATCCATTATCCATAGGACAAAATGCTGATAATTTAATACACTAAAACAATAAAACATATATCTCATTAACTTTCAAATTTCAGCAGATATGCAAGGTCTTCCAAAACGAATTCTACTAGTTTAATGTACTTTCGCTGTATTTATATTAATAATTATCCGAGAAGTATGCGCCACACATCAATCAGTAGAGAGTAATCATCTAAGTTTCATCTGCCGTCTGCATTCAAATGTCTTGTCTACAACCTCTAGGAATGATCACAAATTAAAACACAACCCTGCAATAGAGAAGACATTTTGTGATGGCAAAAACATATGGTAGAAATTTGGAATTACTCATCAATATGCAATGTGAGTAATATGCGGAAACCATAGAACTGTGGCCCCTGCATATTACTCCTGCTATGGGAGGAGTGACGACAGATTTTCTACAGTGAACATAGGAAGAATTTGAGTATCAGTCTGACATGTACTGTACTGTACTGTGCAACACACACATCAATTCTCTTCAACACATTGAGAAATTTTAATGGGCAAATGTGAAACTTGGACTTTTTTCCAATGTTTTAATGCACATTATGATGTTCTCGGATAATAATTACAATAATTCAAAATGGTAGCATTCTTTTTGGAAGACCCTGTATGTTAAAACAAACATTTTATGACCTTTTCAAGGCTGTCATCATGCAATTTTTCAAAAAATGGAACATTGCTTGAAAGCTTTGAAAGAGTTTAGCATTCCAAACAGAGAACATTATTTTTTTTTGAAGTTTTAGACATATCCTTCAGTTTAAGTGTACTTTACTAAAACAATAACAGTATAATTTATCAGGGAAAAACTATACAAAAACTGAAACTTCATATAAAGTACAAATATTATCTAAACATTAACTTTCTTACTTTTAGAGATTTGTAGATTTATATATCAATTTAAACAAACAAAAATGTTAAAATTTATATGAATTTTATAGTTAATCTAATTATTTAGATATCATAATGCAGTTTGGTTTTATGTTCATGCTTGTATGTTGTATTTTAATCATCATATTTATTTTACTCTCTTTATCTTTTGGGCACTAAGAAGGTCTTTTTCCGTGCTCATTGTACATTGGCCAGGCTCACAGTCAGGGCAGGATGGTCAGGATCGGGGCCTGACTTACTGGGATGGACCAACCTTGAAAAATTCCTGGGTTGCTTGTCTGGTTTCAATCGTGGATCATCCAAAGTGATAGACTGATATTTTAATTTCCTCGGCCATTCTGTGTAATTGTATCAGTAATTCTTTCAAATATAACTTTATCAAACTCTTATATATAACTCTTTCTAATTCTCTTTATAAGAAATTTATTACTATTGTCTTTCTTTTAATAGTAATTGCATCTTTTGATAATGGGAATTTTAATTATGCAACAATGATAATTCTTTTAAAAATCACCTTAAGATAGATTTACAATTTAATATACTATCCTACCAAAAGTAACACGATGCTTATCTCTGCAAAGTGAATCAGTTGTTAATTTCAATAGCAAACCATGTAAATCAGAACCTTATAGGCATCTGCTATTCACCATTTATATGCCACTCACAGTTAACTAATATGCCTTGGTACAAGGAACTTTTAGTCTGAATGTACTCACATTAGTTATTTGTCTGCTTGTGATATTTCTGCTAAATGAAAGTCACCAGGTCAACAGTTAGTTTTGTAATTACCAGATGGAAGAGAGAGGAAAGTGAGGATCAGAAATTATGCAAACTGTCTATCATCTGTAAAAGAATAGGTTCTACAATCTCAGGAGAAATGGAGGAAAATACCACCTGAGATGTATCTGAAGTTAGTGGAAAACATGTCACACAATATTCACTATCAATAAGGCCAAAGTAGGTACCACTAAGTACTAAAATTGCTAATAAAATATTATTTTTGTTACTTGCAGAGATGTCCAATTAATAAGTGCACACAAACCTTATCCTTCCACCAATAATTCTTTACCGAACGAATGTTTAAAGCGTCATTCATAAGCTTTCACCAGGTTCAAAATAGACAAAATTGAATGTTCTCCACAATGAACACTCAATTACATGAATATTCTAAATAGGTTAACTGATTTTAAAATTCAGATTACATTTAAACTGGTGTTTCACGAGCGATACTGAAAACATTAGTTCAGTAAAGAATTATTGCTGGAAGGATAAGATGTTCGGTGAGCTTTTTGAGATTTTGTTCCAGTTTGTTTTATACATGGTGTCCTATTACTTTTGGTAGGATACATTTAAACTTTTATAAAAATATAGTTAGCATTTGAAATTTACTATTCTATTTTTTATATTCCTTATACTCTTGATACTCTTGATAGTTTTAGAATGAAATGAAAAAAAATATATCTCATTTTCTTTCTCTCTCATTATTCATTTCTATGTTTATCTTAGAGCTATTTATGGTCACAATTTCTAAAAGATTTTGAAAGTCATGCAGTAAATCATTAAATTTTATAAATGTTAAAAGCTTAATTAGAAATTTTTGACAAGACTATGTCTTGTCTCTAAAATTGCGCTGCTGTCAATGGCTGCACACCTTAGAGGTGTGAAGGAGTACATGTTAGGAGTTGCAATTTGGCACAGAGTATTTGGTGCCCAAATCATGTGCACATAAAATAAATCAAACTTATAGGTAGTCAGGAGACCGAGAACTAGGTCAAAAGAAAATACGAAATGCTGAGACTGTTTCTACAAACTGGCACAAGTGTGAGACTTGCACCTGCGTTGATTGCACTCTCTGAGACATAGTCTCGTCCCAAAAATGGCTTTACTGTTTTACTTGTTATATTTTTTAAGGAATACTTTTTATAGACATATAAAGAAAACTTTACATTAAATTTTTAGACTATTTTACTCATTTTATTAACTTAAATACGCCATATGATTTATATATTTGTTTATTTATCTTGAATTAGACTTTTATATAAGTTGAAAACAATGTTTTTTTTCAATTTCAACTTTTTTATCCCATGGGATTAGATGCAGTAGTGCATTATAACTTCATAGGGCCCAGGAAAATTTGAATTAGAGGATCCCATGTATAGTGTTGACTTCAGATATTTTTCTTTGGGGCAGTTAAGTTCTTTGCTGTGCCTGCACCATACCAGCAATTTAGGATCCCAGATATGGTGCCAAATTTAAATTTCAGTATTTTTCTACAGCAATGAGTTTATAAAGATTGGTTTGGGCTGTTGGTGAGTGCCCCAGGCAATTGCCTCCTTTTGCCCGGAGGATAATGCACCACTGCTAAGATGGCCTTTTTTCTATACCCATTGTGGGTTTCGTGAGGTTCACAATGTGGCAGCTGGATGATGAGAAATGGGGCCTAACACAATGACAGACCACTCATAAAAAATTTCTGAGATTGCTTTGGATACATGTGCCATAGGTTTGCCATCCTTAGTCTAGTGATTTTAACATAATTGTAACTTTTCTGACTATGATTATTCACTAGTCATTTTCATAGCTAGAAATTGATCTTTAGATTTTTAAATAATTTTTCTGTCCTGATGAAGCCCTTATTGTATGCCTATATGGATTCAGCTAAGCTGCAATGTAGCAGCTTAGAATGAAGAATGGACTCAACAGTGGTCAGATCATCCTACAAAATTTCTGAAGATCTGGCACAGATCTGAACCCAGATCTACTAGATGGTTGGCTCACTTTATGCTTTTGCTGCCTCAGTCATCCAACCATCAAAGTAATATGATTGAAGTAATATTAGTTTTACTTTAGTTTTCTAACAAGCTCTGAAGCAATTGTTCTGTTTGGCCACAAGCATTGTATTGGTGTGGCTTAAATAATAAAATAACAGAAAAAAGAATGAATCTCATAATTGATTTTTATACACACACAGATTTTGTATCAAGGTAACTTTAGCATGAAAATTCATAAAGCTCAGCAATGTGTTGATGAACAAAAATAACTACTTAGTTCAGGAAACCAATACTTTTAATAAAAGAAATATATTAAGTGTCAGTTTCTTGAGCCGAACAGTTATTTACTTATAAAATTACTTACTTATTTTCCTCACAAATGTTAACAAACAACTGTTAAGTTTTTTTTAATTAAATCTAATGGACTAGGCTGTCTTATATTTGTTTTTCTTTGGTTCGTTTATCTGTCATCACATCATTGATGGGAGAATTCCTCTGTTCTTTTTCTGTCGTATCATTATCATTGTCATCGAAAAATTGATTCCGAAAGCATTGATATTTAAGCAACTCTATTTAATCAAAATTCAAATAATATAATTTTCTAAATATTTTTGTATAAAATACTTCTTAATAAATACTATGCAAACAGAACAGTATTGAATTAATTTTGTTACTTAATTGTTAAACAATTGTATT